CCAATGAAGGACAAGCCCACAAATATGTTGTTATTAGGATGCTTCTATCTCAACATCGAAGCGACAGAGAATGTGAAAAATAGCACAGTCGATGCTTGGGAGAATGTTCAGAAAAAGACTAAAGCTAATCTAGGAAAAAAGAACTGTGTAGCCTTTGAGCCGTTCACTCAGTGGGTCCAATCTAGAGCTCAAGATCTAAAGATGACATACCTCCCTGAAAAGAATGCGTAGATTATTATCGCGTCATCATCTTCTACCATCCCCATTGAGAGAATGGAAAAATATCAAGAAGTCCTTGAAAGAACACAACTTAAAAGAGATACTTGGGAAGGGAAGTATCATGCACTATTTTCTGAAACAACGAAACTCATAAGAGAAGTGTAAGGCAAAGATGAACTGATAGGTTGGCTCGAACAACGTGTTATTAACAGAAGTAACAAAAGAGAATTTATTTTTCTCTAGCATCAAGCCTACTCAAAGCATTCACGAATACTCAAACGTCCCACCTACCTCTGGAGCTTGGAAAGGCATAGTGAATAAATTGGTAATGGAAAATAAAATGCTAAAGAAGTTGAAGAGGTCTCGCAACTGAAGTTCTTGTTAGAAACTTGGACCATAAGACTTAGTTTCCCGATGTAAACTTAGGCTTCTTGTATTGTATTTTGAAAGTTGTAACTTTTTCCAACAATTAATCAAATAAGGGGGTTTGACTTATTAATCTTCTGATTTTTATAAAACCAGTTGCATTTTGCATTTGCATTCTCGCATTTTTGCTAACCATTCAAGGAATTCAAAATTATCTTTTTGCAGACATTGTCGTGGAATGCAGAAGCAGATTTTCATTTTTGAGCTTGAGATTGGACAATCTTAGGATTTTGGGAGGCCTCGTCAGGAACCCCTTTGCATTCATCGCCAAGTATGGAGATCTGCTGTCACTATTAAACACAAGGGTCAACGAAGACATGATACTAGCACTCGTTGAATTCTATGATCCAGTATACCATTGTTTTGTCTTCCCAGATTTCCAGCTACTCCCAACTCTGGAGGAGTATTCTGCCTATTTGAAGATTCCTTTTACCTTCATGCGTCCCTATGGTAAACTAAGAAGGAAAGAGCTTGCCAAAACACTACATCTTGAGCCAACAGAGCTGCCTGCTCATTTGGTGAGTATGGAAGGTTTCTCTAGAATGGAAGCAAGACCATTCATGGAGAGAGCATAATTCCACTATGATAACATAGACTTAGAGATCTTTGAAACGATCCTAGCCTTCCTAATCTATAGACTGTACGTCTTTCCTAGCTGCGATGAGTTCATTAGTAAAGAGGCCATCAGACTCTTCATAATCAAAAGTCCTGTACCCATGTTACTAGTCAATACCTACTTTGTCATCCATTGTCGCAGGATGTATGATTTAGGGTTATTCTCATGTTGCATAACACTTATCAGCAAGTGGTTTATTTCACACTTGCCTAAGACTCAGATTCTCTAGAATCTCCCTAACAAAGATGATTGGATTGAAAAATTAGCATCGCTCACCCATTACGATGTCAGTTGGTACGACATAAAAAATAGTGGAATCGCCATGATTCAAAGCTGTGGAAACTTTCCAAACATACCTCTCATAGGAACAAATGGAGTCATCAGCTATAGTCTGATCCTCGCCCTCCGTCAGCTAGGATATCAAACCGGACTGAAGCCATACCAAGACATACTAAAAACTTGTTTCTGTGAAAAGGGGAGTGATGAAAACTTTGAGACTCAGGCTCGATTAGCCTGGTATCGTCCCTACATGCAAGGAATGACTACGGAAGAAAACGTGAGCTGCCTAGCCACAAAATCTTATCTCATTTGTTCAAAAGAGATAGCTCTAAGAATGTTCTACAATCACACTTATGAAATCTCTATGGAACGCAAAAACATCGAGTTATGGGAGCTGGTCCATCAGAATCAACACCAGTCCATACCTCAAGAAGGGGAAGGATCGTCTTGTTAGAACGATCAAGACTTCAAATTTCCTATTTTTCTAAGATTTTAATCTTAAGAGCCTATGAATGTAATAGCTACTTGCTGAAAACTATGATGTAAGAAAGGTCTTGTTTGTTAACAAGAGCCATCTGTTGTAACAAACATCGATTTATCAATAAAACTCTGCTTTTCAAACATGTTATCACGTGTGTTGTTGATTTTGTTTGTAAACAAGATTATTGCGTTTCCTTGAATGGTTAGTTTTTGCATTTGCATATCATTTGCATAGTGTCGCATGAGTTCCGCAACTCATCTGTTGTTCTTTTCCACCAGAGGGAGGAAAGGAAGTCACACTGAGTTCCTATCACTACAACACCCGAGCCAGCACTAAGAGAAGAATGGCTGATCAAGATCAAATAATCGATCAAAATGACAATGATCTTGAAGGGATACGAGGCGACGTTAGCCAGATTATGGAAGTCCTTCAGGTAATAAGAGCAAAAATGGACTCACAAACTACAGTGGTATCTGAAATCAACACAGCTACGGCAGATCCTCCTCTGGTAGTGACCTCAGCAACTGAACCTCCGTTTGGTATTACCAAGGATTTCCTGCCACCACTCAGTAATCCCCAATAATTCAACTTCTAGCCACAGACTATTCCATTAACAACAAATCCCATCTACACTAAAGCAGGGGGTCAGGCACAGATTCGACCAATCTTCAACAACCATCAACAGATATTCGACATACCTGACGAGTCTGAGATTGAGGATGAGAAACATGAGAAATTAAGAGTCAAAATGGACATAATGGCAAGACGGATGAAGGCCACAGAGGGGAACAACGTCTTTGGTCTGATGCCAGGGACATGTGTCTGGTTTCGGGCTTGGTATTTCCTCCCAAGTTCGTAATGCCCACATTTGAAAAGTACGAAGGAGCAACCTGCCCAAAGGTCCACCCGATTATGTAATATTGACATATGGCCCCACATATTGAGAATGACAAATTATTAATACACTGCTTTTAAGACAGTCTTAAGGGTGCCTCCGCCAAGTGGTACCTAGGCTTAGATCAATCAAGGATACACTGCTTCTAGGACTTATCTGACGCATTCATGAAATAATATAAGTACAACATAGATTTAGCGCCAGATCGTCGTTAGCTCCTCAGCATGACACAGGAAATTTCTGAATCTTTCAAAGAATACGCGCAGAGATGGCGCGAAACTGCCGCTCAGGTGGAACCTCCCCTGACAGAGAAGGAACTGGCTGATTGGTTTGTAGATACGGTCAGACCCGAATTCTGCAAAAGGTTGATTAGCAGTATCACAACAGATTTTCCTGATATTGTGGCCGTAGGTGTGAAAGTGGAGGCAGGTTTAAAAAGCGCCAAAGTATCAAGTTCAGGTAGCGGTGCCAGCACGAGTACGACAAAGAGGCCACCAAGCAACTTCCACAAGAAAAAAGAAGGGGAAGTCAGCGAAGTAATGCGTGAAAAAGGGGCGCAAAACCAAAGGGTCCCACGACAACGATATCATCAGTCGCAATACGTAGCGGCAATGACTCCAGTTTTCCAAATCAACAAAGTCAACATAACCCTCAGCTAAAGGCGCCTAATGCTTATCAGCAATACAACCACCAGCCTTATAACAATCAACAAGTGCAACAACCCAGGGTTCAAGCTCCTAGGCCAGCCTACCGGAACGGGAAACCCAGATTACAGCCGATACCAATGAGGTACACTAAGTTGTATCCCATGATGGTGGCAAGAGGACTCATTTAGACAAGGAAGTTGGGTGCCCCACCTAATCCTTTACCTCCTTATTATAGTCCCAATGCACATTGCCCTTTCCACGAAAATGCTGTTGGGCATGATCTAGAAGGATGTTTTGCACTACAACACAATGTCAGGGAATTAATAGAAAAAAAGATACTATCATTCGAGGACAATCACCCTAATGTAAAAGATAATCCTCTGCCAAACCATGGTGGAGTAAACGCTATAATTGAAGAGGGTGAAGACTCTGAAATGAAGATGGTCACTGCAGTAGCCGAAGTTAAGACACCGTTGGTGGAGTTACACAAAAGATTGGCTCAGGCGTGGTTGCTCAAAAGTACCCATGAAAATTGTGAAGAATGCATCAAGAATCCACAAGGTTGTGACATTGTGCGAAAAGATATTTAATCACTAATCAACAAAGGAATGCTACAGGTCAATATAAGAAGAGGAAAGAGGATGTGGAGATTATTGAACCAATATTACTTCTGAATTCAAGCCTATATTGCAATGTTTCACGAGTATTGCATATTTTTTGAATTTAAAATTAATCTTCATTTAAATATTTTCTTGTCATATTAAAATACTTCTATAATACTTCTATAAATATTAATTGTTGATATTGATGAGTTTCAACCGAAACTATTACGAGTGGTCTTAATATTATATTTGAGAGGAATTCTTAAATGATACCTACGGTGTATTAAGATATCGTAAAGTGCAAACAAAGTATTTTATATTGAAGACTTCATAGTGGATAGTGTATTTGCACAACTTTAAACCGTACTATATCTTAATGAGAAGCACCTAATACTCAACTAATAATCTTTTTGTTGACATAAACTTTTCTTTTTCAAATTCGAAAACAATAAATGTGCTCCATATTGTTTTTTCCTCTTTGTAATTTTTAAGGCTTTCAAAAGGTCTAGAAAACTAAAATTAAAGTAGATCCTTGTGAATATTACGTGATAATGCTATTTTGTCAGATTAGACGGTCAACGTTGAGAAACTGACGAGAAATATAAAAGCAGCTCTAGGTTGAAATAGTAGCAAACTATAATAGCAGTAAACACAAGGATAATAATATAATAAACAATTTACTTATTTCCATTTTGATGAGTAATTAAGAAACACAATAAGCAAATGAATAATGCTTGTAGCAAATTACAAAGGAAAATACGTGAAACACATAAAGACACATGCTATTAATACCAAAAGCATGCAAAATAACAATCATTAATATTCTTCTTTATATTCATGGAAATCCACCTCCAATTCCTCCACCAGCTCCTCCACCAAATCCTCCACCGGATCCGACACCACCAAGTCCACCACCACTACCACCACCGCCTCCAAATCCTCCTCCACCACCTCCTCCGAGTCCACTACCAGCACCCGCACCACCTCCAAATCCTGACCCTCCTCCAAACCCTGATCCTCCACCAACACCACCTCCTCCGCCGAATCCACCGCCCCCACCACCACCAAAACCACCTCCACCTCCAAGTCCACCACCAGAACCACCACCAGCACTGGCACCTGCACCAAATCCGCTTCCTGAACCACCACCTAAACCTCCTCCACTACCACCACCACCACCAAAACCACCACCTCCTCCTGCGCCTGAACCTCCACCGAACCCTGGATGATGATAGAAATTCTTCTCATCCCTTAACACCTTATCACTCCCAAGCTTCCTTGCATCAATGCTACTACAGACAAGAGCACCAAGAAGCACAAAAAGAAAAACCCTAGAACTTGAAGCCATCTTATGCTATGGCTAGAAACTTAAAAAACTTAATTTGTGTGGAGAAAAAGAAGTGAAGCTAGGGTTTATATAACAAATGCCAAAGGCAAGGTTTAAGCAAAAATAATAATTAAGAACGTTGAAATCATTATGAGAACGCTTTAAATTAAGAACTACTACTTCTTAACCATGCAATAACGCGTTGGATACATAAATGCTTTCAACTGTTTCCGTTTGAAAAAGAGATATATAGTTCCTAACTGTTAGTAATGTCTTATAAGGTCCCACACTTTACTTATCTTGCCATTGTCAGAAAAAGGATAATATTCACGTCGCTTGGAGTAACCTTTTGGTCTATTTATGTACGGGCTTTCACATTACTTAGATACAAGTCTCTACCTCACAAACATTATAGCATATATGTAGAATAAGATGAAAAAAGTTTTGAAAGTTTTATCCATTAATTGATAATATTTTATTACTATTGAAGTGTAGTAGGAGGACCATATTTTTAAGATTTTCGGGTGTGTAAATAAACATGTTGAATTAAAGATGACAATGAGATAATTGGTAACACTAAAGGACTTGGAATATATGAATATATTTTTGTCTTTAAAATAGTATATTTTTAGATCGTAAGGGATTTCTTGTGCTTTCTTAGCCTAACTCGATAACATTATCTTATATTTGAGCTAATAGCGTCATGAATGTCTCCGATTTTCTTTTGATGTGTTGTTATTTCAGTGAAGATTGATGTCTTCTCTTTTGTGGGCCTTGACTGAGGAGCACTACCTTATTTCTTTGTGCTCTTGTTTTTGCCTTCCTAAGTTTTTTCCTCTTTATGTATTGGTGATCCAGTTTTTGTGTTGGATTGGTGTTTTTGTTTTAGTTATTTTATTATTTTGTTTCTGTTAGTTAGTTATTTTGGTACCTCTTATGTCATCTCTCTCTCTCTCTCTCTCTCTCTCTCTCTCTCTCTCTCTCTCTCTCTCTCTCTCTCTCTCTCTCTCTCTCTCTCCTCTCTCTCTCTCTCTCTCCTCTCTCTCTCTCTCTCTCTCTCTCTCTCTCTCTCTCTCTCTCTCTCTCTCTCTCTCTCTCTCTCTCTCTCTCTCTCTCTCTCTCTCTCTCTCTCTCTCTCTCTCTCTCTCTCTCTCTCCGCGCCTCTATATCTATATATTCTATTTGCTATTAAAAAAAATGAGATAATTTGATTCCAAAATATTTTTTCTAAACTTGAACTATGCTAGCAGTATGCTAGTTATAAAGAACTAAGATACGGTATCCGAAAATTATGATGTTTAGGATAGATATATACTAAGAATGAGATGATTCTCAAGTTTATTCTCTTGTGATTGTAAGGAATCTTGGTTTATTTTTTATTTTATTCTTTAAGACATCTTTGTTTCATGATTTTCTGATTAAACAAACAGTTAGGGTGTTGTTTTGCGATGAATGATGAGATTGAAATAGAGAAGTTAGAGGAGCTAGAGAAAAAGAATAAGACTCAAGTGAGTTCAATCGACCACGGATTCTCGTCAATTGTAATATATTCTTTTAATTGTAAATTTTTGGGGGATATGATTAAGAGGATAAAGGGGGAGAGATCTTATTAGGTCAAATTCCTTGACTTTTATATGTATTGAAGAAACTAAGCTTAATATGGTCTCCCCTTCTCTAGTTTATTTCTTGTAGGGTAATTCATTTTGTAATTAAAGATTTAGCTCGTCTATAGGTAGTAGTGGCAGTTGCCTTTCGATTTGGTGTAGTTCAAAAGGTTGACCTTTGTTTTCCTTCTCTAGTACAGGTTTCTTGGATACATATCTAAAGTAAGGTCCGTCTAATTCTCTGTGTTTTGTGATTTATGTGTATTCTAAGTGCTCTCTAGCTGACAAGATAATCATGTAGGTAGGCTTGATTTCTAGAAAACATGTTTTGGAGGTACTTTGTTGTGTGTTCTATGTGATTTCAATTATATTTGTTTCTCAGAAGAGAAGGTTGGTGCGAAATCTACATCTAGTGCTTAAGAAAGACTGGATTGTTTAGATTTTTTCAAACTTTATCTCTCTGGTAGAGCTTATAGACTTACTCTTCTTGAGAGAACGTTTACTTGGTTCCAATCTAAGGGTGGGGCCGCTAGTTGAATTAATTGTATTCTAATGTGTAATGGATAGTGGGACCACTAGGGAGAGGCTTCTTAGTGGGCCTTTCTTAAGGATGTTTTTGAATCAGAATCTAAATCTGACTCTGATTCTGATGAGGTATTTTCTAAACTATATCGTTCCAATTTAAAGTCATGTCTCTCAGAAACGATGGAAAAGTATCAAAGTCTTCAAAGTAAATACAAGGATCTTAAATAAGTTCGAATAGTTGCTTCTGAAGCTTGTAATAAGCTTGAACAAAATATTTCTTCTCTCAATAAGAAAATATTTTCTTTAGAAAGTACTAATTCTGCTTTGAAAAGCAAAATTTCAAAACTAGAGGAAGAAATTATTGGTGTAAGTCCTAGAGGCCATTACTTTTGGTACTTGTATCGAATTATTTATTAATAGTAAAATGCATTTCTTTATTATGTTTGTTTTTTTAGAATAATAAAGTCCCTAGAATAGCTAGTTCGTTTAATCAAATATTAAGTTTTACTTAATCATGAGATCCCATTAAACATAAGGACATTATTCTTAAAGTATCTATAGTCGAGCTTTACTGTGAAGTGGGATAACCTTAAAGTATTAAGACTATTATGCAGATAAAATGATGATCACATCTCATGAATCATGGATAAAGATTTATGAAGTCTTAACATAGGGATGAATATTAGGAGTAATATTTATACTAGATTGAACCGCTATGAGAGTACTACATAGAATGTTACGCAAGGTGTCATAAGTTACTCTCATGGTGATAATGTTGTATATCACCCTTCGACCTAAAACCACTATGGACCCTAGATGTAGAGTCGAGTACTTTATTATTGATCTATCATTGTCTGTAACTGGATGACCATAAAAGACAAGTGATGGATACTCTACAAAGCATGATGAGGGACATGAGTGACCTAGATGGAATTTGCTCATCTTGCATAACGAGATAAATGTCTAAGGGCTCAATATTAAAATGGACAAGGATGACAGAATATATGTCTTGTGTTCAATATAGACATAAGGGAAAAGGGTAATTGTACACACAAGTACTATCACAAAAGGTTTTGTTAGATCACATTACATTTTGTGACTTGAGTATCAGTGATGTGTTGCTAGATACCGTTCACTGCTTATTATATTAAATATATAATTTAATATAATTGTCAACGTCACGATAAAATATAATAATAATAATAATAATAATAGTAATAATAAAATATATTTATTATAATAATGGTTATATTATTATTATTATTATTTTATGGTGCATTTAAGTTGAGATTTTTAGCTTGCAGCCCACACAAGTGGTTCTATAAATACAACCCTTATGTAGAAGTTTTAGAACTTGATGAAATTCAGTTGGTGAAACCCTGGTCGTATTTCTCTCTCTCTCTCTCTCTCTCTCTCTCTCTCTCTCTCTCTCTCTCTCTCTCTCTCTCTCTCTCTCTCTCTCTCTCTCTCTCTCTCTCTCTCTCTCACACACACACACACACACACACACACACACACACACACACACACACACACACACACACACACACACACACACACTCAAAATCTTCATTCGTAGCAGCTAGCACTGAGATTGAAGGCACTATGTTCGTGTGGACTAAGTAGAGGCGTTGTTCTTCATTCAACGCTCGTGATCATTCATCCGGATCTACATCAAAATTGTTAATCACCACAAGAGGTAACAATTTCTATCACTGATCATGCTCATTCGTAAGGATCACTAAAGGGAAAATTTTAATTTTCGCTGCGTATTGGATCGCGATTTCCCTTCAGAAATAGTCTGGGAAGCTTCTGGTATTGATTGCGCCATCAGATATGATAGATCATTCCAACACTTTCTAGTTAAAAAGAATAGATAGAACTAAAATAGCTTCCTTGATCTATGGAGTTAGTAGAAATGGCAAGAAAGGTTTAGGTTGTACAGAAACTTCTAAAGTTGACAAAATTCAAATTGTAAAACCAAAACCTCTCTATGAGCATTTCGTGTCTGCTGGCACTGAGTTTGACTATTTTGAGCTTGCACATAAACCTTCACAGACACAAAACTCTTTTCTAAAACCCAAGTATCATGCACAAATTCCACTTGATTATCATGCTGCACATAAATCCAAGGTTGTGAGAAAACCTGAGAAAACTAACAAAAAAGGACCCAGAAAGTGGGTACCTAAGGATAAGATCATTCATGTTGCAGACATCCTTAGCAGCTCAATTGAAACACGATTCATGGTACCTGGACATTAGTTGCTTGCAAAAAATGATGGGAAAAGGCATATGTTCCAAGATTTGGAACTTAAGCTTGGAGACTTTGTCGGTTTCAGAGAAAACTAGAAGGGAAAGATCATTGGCTCTGGATTTTTTGGTAATGGTAAACTTTCTGCTATTACTAATGTTCTTCTGGTCGATAGTTTGATGAATAACTTATTGTCTATTAATCAACTTAGTGACAATGGTTATGATATCTTTTTAATTAAAAGTCTTGTAGGGTTGTGAGTCAGAAAGATGGCTCAATCCTTTTTAACGGAAAGAGGAAAAACAACATTTATAAGATTAGACTGTCTGATCTTAAAGACAAAAATGTAACTTGTTTAATGTCTGTTAATGAAGAGCAATGGGTATGGCATAAAAATTTGTCCCATGTTAGTATGAGGAGGATTTCTCAGCTAAATAGGCTTGGATTAGTCAGAGGCATACCAAACCTGAAGTTCGCTTCAGTTGCTCTTTGTAAAACATGTCGGAAAGGAAAATTTTCAAAAACTTCTTTCAAAGATAAAAATGTTGTTTCCACCTCCAAACCATTAGAGCTTCTGCACATTGATTTGTTTGGTCCAGTGAAAACTGCGTCCATCAGAGGTAAGAAGTATGGATTGGTCA